TCCTAACTTGTTATCTACATTTTTCTCAGATGAAGCCTGAAGGGTACTGCCTGTGATTTATTCCTAGATCTGTCAGCGTTTTTTTTTTACGCTCAAACTATACAGCACCTTCTATTTTCACTATAGACAGTGAGAAGTTAAGTGATCAACGTCTTTCAAATTTAATCTCTTGGACAAAGAAAGTGCACTAGTTCAGATTTTTCAGATGTTTTCCCCCCTGCTTTTCAATTAATATGGTACAAAGAGGAATAGCAGAAGAGATGGGTAGGAGAAATCATTTCACAAACATAAGACAGAATCCCCAAATCAGATTAAAATGCAAAATGAATTATCTGAAAAAGCTGAATATTTAACAATTTTCCATACACTAGAACTTCTAACAGGAGCTGTTACTGTAAAGAAGAAAAATTACCACACTTGGGAATATTGCAACATGCACTGCTATAGGGGTCTTACCTGCATTTTAAACCATTCTCCCAAACCAACAGCAGCATTTCTCCCAAATGTTAACCATAGTGGTAAATTATCTGTGCCATGTCACTATTTGCTAAACATCAGCTGGTTAACATTGCATGTTGTGTGCAGACACAAAGAAAGCTGGGGGTTTTAATCTCTATTCTTTGCTAGGGAAGAGAGGTCATGCAGGGAAGTAAACCATATAAAGTCCAAGTGCTTTTCACAGAACAGTGTAAAAGCTGCTCTTAAATATCTGCTTTCTACCAGTTCCTTGTAACTTCACTTCTCTTCCTACACTGGTACTTGTATTTTCCCTCTCATTCGGTGTTCATGCAGTGAGGGATTTCACTGTTTCTTTGAATCAAAATGCAGGACTCCATTAGCTGCCACTACAGCTTACTCAACTGATTGCATTGTCTTCCAGTGGCAACAGCACACTTGTTCTCTACACAACACCAAGCCCTTCTCCAGATGAGAGCCTGACTTCCTCACCTACTCCGTCAGTTCTCTTGGAAAGACCTTTCTGGTATTATTGTTTTGTAACAAACATAAAGGAAAGGAAACAAAAGCTACATGCTTCCTTCTTTGGTAAAGAAATCATTTGGACATCATTTGTGCACACCTGAGACAAGAAACACCCTTGCTTAGTGGTCACCTCTTGGAGCCACATACAACCACTCCACATAGAAAGAAGCTCCACAGGATGGAGAAGTTTGGTGTGACATAAACAGGGAAAGCAGCTGCCAGAAAGTCCTTGAAGATGTAAGTGAGGCTCCTTCTGCTAGGGCTGGCCATACTGGTTAAGAATAATCTTGATCAGAGGGCTATGGAGCACTGGTCCTCCCTCAAAATACCTGGGCTGCAGGTGGCTATAGACTTACAGCCTTCTCCAACTTCAGACCCCCTCCCCGCTCCATGCAGGAAGAGACAGGACTGTTACTTTCTCTTGAACTTGACATAATTTATGAATATGTGTCTCCCACAGATATTCCCTTCTTTTCCTTCCTTTGTCAGGAAAAGGAACAAAATGAGTCAATTAAAACTCATTTTAACTTCGAAACAAGATTTCTAGAGTGAATGATGAGTGCATAACCACAAAACCCAATAACAGTTGATAAAAATCAGTATTAGAGAAGAACCTTGCAGCCAATACCTTAACAGCTACCCCTGTACAGCAAGATCAGATCAGGTCTTTAAAAAGACACAGAAGAAGGTCAAGATATATATTTGAGAGAGCTATACAGATAAAAGGGGCCTGGCGTTTGACTCGCTTTATCAAGCGCTTGCAGTTACAGCTGTCTATTTTATTCTTCTCTTAAGTTTTCTTTACGTATTTGCTTTTCCATAATCAATGTCACCAGGAAGAAAAAGCTCTAGTTTCTAGATATGAGAAAGATCAGAATCTGCTCCCATAAGTCTTTCAAGTGTACTTGGCTCCTCATGTTTCAAAAAACTGAGATATGGCCACATTTTAGGTCACTGTGTTAAACTGCTTGTTCCCGTAAGCGAAGTCACTACATTAAAAAGTCGTGAGAGGCAGAGGGGCAGGGAAAGAGCATCCAATATCTGCAATTCATACTGCAACCCAAAATAGCCCATCTATTAGTATTGTGAACAGCTATTGGAGCTTTTCCATCTGATAATCCAAGACAGAAAAAAAGAAAACCTTCTGCCAAGGCCAACAAAACGCCAGCTTCCCAGAGAAAGGCTCCTACATACTATACATTACTTAAAAAGGTTTGTAGCATAGTGAGCAGTAAGCAATACCTGCAGACAAGAGTATCAAGAAGTCCAGGTAGCTTACTTGAGCAGGTGGTAAGTTCACAGTAGCAAGGATGAGGCTTTTGCAACAAAGACAGGTATATCGTGTTCTGCAAATTGTTCTGGTTTGAGCTAAACCAGAACTAATTCTGTTCAGTTAAGTCTCTTCTAAGTAATGCATTTTCTGAAATCAGCAGCATATTTTTCCAGATAGTGTCATGATAATGCTTGATGTTTATAGTCAATACCTAGGAACAGCGAGCAGAAAGGCTCTCACTTATACTTGCTCCTATAGCAAACAAGGTCACTGCTAAATTTGATACCCCATGTTGAGGTGCCAGAAGTGAAAATGGGTTGTAACAAAGCAAAAGGTCACATCAGCAGGGAGAAGCGAGCTGGACAGGTGACCCAAAATTGACCAACTAAGTATTCCATCCCATATATGTCATATTCAGTATAAAGCTGAGGAATCACAAGGGTTAAGCCCGCTTCTTCAATAGCCGACATCCAAGGAAGTCTCCACCTCTTCTTCTGTCTTCTATCCCCATCTGTGTACCCCTGAATCCAGCTCCTGCATCCAGCTCCCGTCTGCTGCCATGTCCAGCCTGGGACTTCCTCAGTGCCTGCCCTGCATCATCAGTGGTGGGGTATTGTCATCAGGGGCATTGGGTTCAGTATTGGTTTTGTGTACATTTGTATGCATCTTATTATTTTCCTATTAATATTATTTATACTTTCTTTTTATTGTTTCATTAGTACTGTTTTAGTATTCTTTTCCAATACATACATCTCTCTCCTTTATTCTCTCTCCCTTCTGCCTTTGGGCAGGGAGAGGGATTAACAGAGAGCATCTGCCATTTGTTAGTGGCCAGCCCAGCCCTAACCTGTGACACATACATAAACTCCAGTGGCCAAAAGTCCATCAATAATCATAATCGTTTAGGTTGGAAAAGACCTTTAAGATCATCGAGTGCAACTGCAAACCTAACACTGCTAAGCCCACCACTAAACCACGTCCCTAAGCACCACATCTAGAGGTCTTTTAAGTACCTCCAGGGATGGTGACTCCACCACTTCCTGGGCAGCCTGTTCTAATGTTTGACCACTCTTTCAGCAAAGAAATTTTTCCTAATGTCCAATCTAAACCTCCTCTGGTGCAACCTGAGGCCATTTCCCCTTGTCCTACTTGTTACTTGGGAGAAGAGACCAACCCCCACCTCGCTACAACCTCCTCTCAGGTAGCTGTAGAGAGCGACAAGGTCTCCCCTCAGCCTCTTCACAGCAGCATAGAACAGGCCTATAATCAGCTTTGATCAGAAAAGTCCAGACCAGCCCCCACCTAAATCACCAGTGAGTCACAATCAGACATAATTCATTGAGAACGGAATCTAACACCCTGTCTCTGTGGGGCTGTAGCACAACTTCATAAGCTTGTTGCAGCAGAACAGTCACATCTTCACAGCCAGAATTATGGCACGTTTTTAACACTCGTATTATCACATACAATTCCTGCCCCTGTTCAAAGTGCAAACCAGCATTTAATCTCCCTCTTTCCCCACCAATTATTAAATATAAATTTTTCTTCTTTTCAAGACCACCAAATGAGTAAAGGCTGTTGGTAGTTTATCATCTACGAAAACAGTTAGTCTTATAATTAGCAGGGGATACAAAAGACTTTTTCTTTTCATTTGACTAAATGAGTGTGACCAGTACTGCAGACAGGAAGGTACAAACTGTATCTGTTAAGTGTAAAAAAATATATACAACTATATTTAACATTTAAATTAAACACAACTGTTTGCATACTAACAATCTTATGTACATTCAGTTTTAAACAATACCTCTTTAATATCCTCTTCTTTTGTTAAACAAGTTTTATTTTCCTCCCAAAATACGCAATGCTACTTTAAAATTCTGGAAGGGAAAAAAGTTGAGCTATATAGAAAATAGCAAGATGTCTTACAATTGTAATGTATCATAGCACATATTTTTCATAAAAACAACACATCATTCAAAAACTGAACCACTGTAAAAGTTCTCGTAAGTCCAACAGGACTGTCTTTAAAAGCTTACTTTGGTTAACAGCAAATCATTCTTAAACAATTAAGGAAAAAATATATATTCTTTTACCACCTCTACAGATGCATTTCCTTGGCATGTTGTAGCAACCCTTATATCTTTGTGGATGAGCGCTGCAGTTGTTCAGCACTCTTTATTTGTACTATGATTTCAATAAAAATGGATTATGTATCAGGTTGGATTGATTTATAATTAAATTAGTCCAACTTCCTAAGATCTCTGAATAAGAGAACTCTCTTCCTAAGACTTCCTAGGATCTCTGGATATCAGAGAAAGACAGCAACACTACTACTACTTCCTCACGAGGTTGACCTCGTGCAGTACTTGCAACAGTATCACTAAGTTGCACGAAACTGCATTTCCCTGCTTAACTTTCCTGGTCAGGACAGTAACACAGCTTTTGCTGAGCTGTATGTACTCCAACACCCAGCCAGTCACATCAGCCTCTGAGCATTCAGACAACTGAAGTGCCACTGGACTTTATGGTAATGCAACGATTTCCTCTGAGTCATTATGTATATTTTAGGTCATGTGTGGCCTGTATATCACTGAAATTTTACTCATTTCCAAGGGAATAAATGCTCTCAGCTTTTGGCCAGGAAGAGAAACTTAATCTTTATCTTTCTTCCCTCCTTGCACTATGAAACCCTCTGATCCACTAAAAATCACCGCCCCGTGCCCCCGCCCCCCCCCAAAAAAAAAAAAAAAAGGTAAAAGTAGAAGATTCTCCAGGAAAAGAACACTGCATTAGTCACTATGCGCCAGTTAAGCCGAAAAGTAGAGGAGTCTGACCGATGAGCAAAGGCACTTGGTAACAGTCTTATGAACAATAGTCAATGAGTCAACAATTTCAGTCTTGTGATCCAACTGACCAGCAGCGAGGGCTCCGCGGAGGAAGATTTTGTGGACGATGTAACAGAGGATTTTTTAGCACCTTCCTCTTGAAAAGGAATTGTTGCACTGTTGTGGAGGTCTGTATTCATAAAACACCTGCTGCCTCGAACATAATCCGTTCCCCTCACTAACTGCTTGTCAGATACTGGCCTTGAGAGAGGGTGTTGTGTGGAGGGGCTTTCTTCAATGATTGGGGGTATCCTTTCATTACTGAAGTACCTGCAGAGGACATCTTCACCTGTACAAACAGGAGGAAGAAAAACAGTTATTGCTGACTTCAAAACTCTCTTTAACTTTTTTATTTTTATAAGAAGATTCTGGTTACATTTCAAATTATCTAGATTTTGGTTACCTTTCATAACACACCTGTTCATGCGCAGCTGTCAATAGATTTATGGCTTTTTGCATCTTTTTTTTTTTTTTTAAGCAACACGAAGAACAAAACAAATAAATTCACCAAGAGGATACCATTTGACTGTAAATTCCAGATTCACACACATCAGAACTGCTAGTACAGACTACCTTCATGCAAATCGTTATCACGAGCACAACCTAACAAACCTTCTCATAATGTGTCATTCAAGATGGTGATAGACCAGAGTTTAACTCATGTTTATCTGAATGTAAATCATGACTAACTTAAAAGCTATATTACTCTGGACAACAAAAATTAATTTTGCGGGTAAAGATGTAATTACTTCCCTGGTTTCGACCATTGATTCGTGATGCTTTCTCTGTTTTTACTCTTCCCTAGACACCTGACCATGGCTAGAATTACACGTTAGCTTTCATAACTGATTTCAAGAATAAACTAAATAGTCATCCTTTCTTATTTCCCACTCTAACAGTACTCATGGCCTTTCAGGTACAAAACGGGAGGGAAGGGAAAGAAGGACAGCAGGGAAAGGAAAAAAACCACCCAACCAAACATTATGAGCTTCTGTCTCTCTCCCATTCCGTGACATCTGCAGAACATGTTGTTTTCTAGCAGCAGTCACAGCAAAAGGCCCTATATTTTACTTTCGAGAACAAGCTTGCTTCTACAGCAACCTCCACAGTGAGTTAAACAGACAGACTTATCAAAAAGCAGTTTTATAATCAATATTAAATGCAGAAGGGAAGGGGTGTGTGTAAGCGCAAAATGGTAAACCTGTGCTATAAAGAGACAAGTACAGATCTGCTCTAGTCATTCTAGCCTACTTTTAATACTTACAAGAATTCTAAGATGGGACAAAAAAAGTTTGAGCCCTAGCACCAAATAGCCTCATAAATTTCACAGCTACCATCTGGCATTC